TTGCACTTCATGTGCAAAATATAGTAACTTTTTTCCAAGTAGATTGCATGCAAACAAGATATTATCTAATTAAAGATTATTATTCAATAATACCAAAAACAAAAAAATAGAATATTATCAACATTGTTTAGGGAACAACTCTATTTTGTTGAATTGAAATTTAGTTTAGAGAGTAGATTTTATATATCGTTATTTCTACTGTAAGTGATTAAAATATGGCGAAAAAAACGTAGAAAAGTCATTACAGAAGTGTAACATTTGTTTTCATGATATTCTATTTTCTTTTAACTTCGATTTCAATATACATTCCAATGTACTTCGGTGCATTGAAGTCAAATGAATTTCTGTGCTGCGGATTCATGTTATATTATTCATATGTGAGTAGCTGAATTTATTGTTGAGTGCATTTTATTCGCATTAGAAAGCAATAATGTACTAATGAATATTCGTAAGACTTTTTTAACGCTGTTTCACCTAGTGCATAATATAAATATAATAGGCTACTCTTCTTAATTTTTTTTGTCATATTGCTTTGTTATAAACAAAAGCGATAAATATCGGTTGATCTTCGATTATTATATCTTTGATTTATTTGCTTCATTCATATATTTATTCATACAAATATGTGCATATAAGTAGTAAACAAAAAGTGACAGATTATTTCATCTCGGAGGCCTTCGATGTTCTTTTTAATAAAATTTCCCGCTGAATCATTCGTGAATCAGAGTCAATAATATTATAATAAATCATTTCGTATGTGTTTTAGTTACTGATAAATCTTGAAAATTTTCACACATTACAAGTCTATTGAATACATTATTTATGGTTACCATTATGGGAATATTATAAATCAGTCTTCGCTACTACGACTAGCTATGACCATTTTCTTTGAAACTACTCTTCTTCTATAACAGGAGAATATTCTGATGAAGCAATATCCCGAACACAATAGAACACTGTCCCTCAATGATTTAAGTGATTAAGGCATTGTAATTTTAATTAGCATATTTAATCAAAAATATGTCTAGTTTTCAGAATTTGGAGCTGATAGACAATGAATTTTAAAATTAAAATGATTTATTAATAATTACAGAATGAAGAATAGAATATAACATCTCTCTAGAACATTTGTTTCACTTGAATATAATAAAGACTCGGAACCACCTTCTATTATTGTGGGAAGGAAAGTGCCATTATACAATTTTTATTCAGTACTGCAACTACGACATACTATAGATCTATTCTATCACAAGTGGCACCGAGATAGAGAAAGAGAACGATAAATCAAGATTATCACAGTGATGGTATCAGACTTTCTTAAACAATCAGATATCCATTACTATGCAATTGGCATCAGTTCATGAACGTTACATATTCACATCAAGCCAACTCTTAACTAGATACATGTTCTTCTTTTCCTTTGCAGAGACACCACACAGCATACTAGTTATTATGCAACAAATTGTAAACGATAGAGAATAATATTTTCCGAGAGTTTCTATGAGTTCATTAATGAAAGGGCTAGGGCCGATAAGGCCATTTTTCTACCCCCAATAAAATTAACTTTGTTTTTATCGATTTGAAGTAAGACATGACTCCTGATGATATTCCATAGGTTTTTTTTCGTATTGCTCACCAGAAGATTTTTGGGACCTGCGGTCCCCCACAGAGATCTCTGAAAAAATTTTTATTTTTCATTTCGTTTAAGCACATATTTATTAATAGAGTCCAGTGTGCTGATTACGAATATCAAAAAATTAAGTGCTGAAAGCTTTTTAATAAAGAAAAAATTTAGCCCTTTTTGAAGTCCTCGTTCGACTTTATACCCAGGTTTTTGACTCTGTATCTTCATAATTCATTGCTCTAACCTGATGGAAAAACATTCATAATAGCCAAAAAAACATGATCTTATCGAATATGAACTATAAAACCTCCTTCAAGGCATCATTGACTACAAAACCTGCGATTATCGGTCAAAAACCTGCTTGTCCTCTATGTCCCACAGAGATTAGGGTTTCCATATCTTTTGATAAAAGATTAGAACCAATGTGAAATTTGGACTGAATACTTTACTTTGCATGCTCTATCCGGTGGTGGATTCAAAAATCCGAAAACAATGGTTCTTCAAAGTTTTTGAGGATTTTCTGGAAAACCGTTTAAAGATCCAAAAGGACTCAACGAGAACTGACTTCACCATTGTGTTCAGAACATCAAATAACCTTTGTACACAGTTCTTTGGTAATCCAAGTGTTTCTAATATGCCGTATCAGGACATACATTTCTATGATTAGCCCTATAGATGATGTAGCCAAATTAAAGAGAATGAAGGCGTTAAAAGAATAGTTAACTCAATGTTTTTAGAAGGTTTAAAAGGTTCGACGTAGGTTATTTGGTGTGCTGAACATGATGGTGAAGTCAGTTCTCGTTGAGTCCTTTGGAATCTTTAAACGGTTTTCCAGAAAATCCTCAAAAACTTTGAAGAACCATTGTTTTCGGATTTTTGAATCCACCAACGGATAGAGCATGCAAAGTAAAGTATTCAGTCCAAATTTCACATTGGTTCTAATCTTTTATCAAAAGATATGGAAACCCTAATCTCTGTGGGACATAGAGGACAAGCAGGTTTTTGACCGATAATCGCAGGTTTTGTAGTCAATGATGCCTTGAAGGAGGTTTTATAGTTCATATTCGATAAGATCATGTTTTTTTGGCTATTATGAATGTTTTTCCATCAGGTTAGAGCAATGAATTATGAAGATACAGAGTCAAAAACCTGGGTATAAAGTCGAACGAGGACTTCAAAAAGGGCTAAATTTTTTCTTTATTAAAAAGCTTTCAGCACTTAATTTTTTGATATTCGTAATCAGCACACTGGACTCTATTAATAAATATGTGCTTAAACGAAATGAAAAATAAAAATTTTTTCAGAGGTCCCTGTGGGGAACCACAGGGCCCAAAAATCTTTTGATGAGCAATACGAAAAAAAACCTATGGAATATCATCAGGAGCCATGTCTTACTTCAAATCGATAAAAACAAAGTTAACTTTGTTGGGGGCAGAAAAATAGTGTTATCGGCCCTAGCCCTTTTATATCTATTGTTGCACGCGGGAAATTGGACAATCTTTGAAAGACCTAAAAAATAGTTTGTACGGAACGGTTGGGTCGAAGTTGCTGTGCCACATTTTGTTTATATTTTACCTACATGCAACTATTATAAATGAGTGAAAAGCTACTGGTTTCGATCAAAATTTTGTGCTATTTCCAAATTTAAATTCAAAAATTTTGTATCTGCTATTGCACGAGAGTAGTGAGAGACACTTGGAATGTCCTAAAAAGGTAGTTTGTACGGTGAACAAACTCCTATTTTTCACTCTCAAAAGTTCCTTTGTAAAATTGTTGAAAAAGATTGAATTTAGTAATTTTCCAAAGCAGTCGATCCTATACAAAATTGCATGTTGAACTTAAATGTCACTTGTATACAAGTGAAGCTATAAGCATTTTCTCAAAAACTATTTCGACATTAAACGAACTTTAATCAAAAGGTCGATTTTTCAAAAATCATGATGATAGTAAAACAAAAGTTTTGGTGTTTTGTCGAAAGATGAAATAGCACGTTTTATAGAGCAGAATTTGCTCTATACTCATGTATTTGAACCAAAGTTTCAGTGTTGCGTTTGGATCTCGAATAGAAAAGGTACAAAAATATTTCGGTCCAAACTAAATTTTTACATCTTTCAAAGATTGTCCCATTTCTCTCGTACAACAATATATATATAACATTTCTGAGCTCATATTCCAAAAGAGTACAAAATTCTCGTTCTAACTCATATTTTTTGATTCTTCTGAAATTCTTTTATATGAACGAAAAATGAGCAAACATTTTGTCTGAAAACTTTTGGTCCACTCGTTATAAAGAAATTTCAAGTCTACGGAAGTGGAGAAAATGCACAAGCAATCAATTACTTACGAACAACTCTTAAACTCTCTTTGAAAATAAAGAACTATGAAGAAGCTTTTATCTAATCAACGGAAAACAGACATCTACTTAGCTAATGCTATAGGCTTTCTAACTATGCTTAATAAATTTTATCAATCAAAAAAAGTAAATTAAATCAATAATATTCATATGTAGTTATAACGATTGAAATTTCGTGTAATATACGAAACTGATGAACACATTTTATATTTCAATTATCGATCTTCATCAGGACGAATATTTCACACAAGATAGCGACGACATTCGATCTAATTGCTATTGCTGTTGAAACTCATCTTCATCATCTCCAAAAAAGACAGAGTCCTTACTTCGTAATTGTCGTTTCGTCAAGCAGATTGGGAAAAAATAGAACTTTATAACAATCTTTGAACGAAAATCATACAACTCGACGATCTTTAGATCATCGCGACACCAAATATATTTTCAAGTTATGTGTCGAGAAAGTAAGAAAACTCGCGAACGATGACTATACAGTACTTCGTACCGTAAAAATAAATACAATTAATATTTTGAATATATTCGTATCATTCATTAGACTGACCAAGTTTTTTTTTGAAAACGCAATGCAAACGCCGATGACAATCAGATTTATACATAATGAATAATTTAAGCTTTTAAGAAATATGCATGTGAAAGAAAAATATATACTGATATTCAATTCAATATAAACCTACAAATTTTATAAAGTACAAGTTTTTCATTCTAGAATGTAGGACAGTATGAATATTTATATTCAGTAGAGAAGTTTTCTTGAATCATTGATGGCATCAGGTTTCATAAAAAAAAAAGTATATTTTACTCGTCATACAGTCATGTGGATCACATTTTTAAATATATTATTATAATATTATTTATGAGGTCTTGTAAGTTTTGCTCGTGCTTAAAACAACTACATATCATTAAGAATAAATTTTTCTTGAAGAAATAAATGATTTTATTTAGGAAAAAGAAGTAAATACTAGTTACACTATTTTGAACTTAATGTAGAATAGCATTTACTTTTTATTCGTGTATATATAAAGATGTAGTATCGTTAGTTGCGTTGATTGAAATCGATTCATAACTGTTGATTTGTGAGATCACTATACCTTTATCATCAGTAACTGTTATTTCCTTATATATTTGCTTTTCTCCATCAATAATTAATTCCTTAACACATGTTGTTGTTTGTGTAGTACGGAGAGATTTTCTTCTATTGTTTTTTATTGATCTTGTTGATGGTAAATTTATTGTTGTTGTACAGACAGGTGAAACATTGTCTAATTTCTTTTTAGCTTCCATTAAATCAGCAGCATTAGATTTAGCTAATGATAATGATAAATTGGACATTTGTTGAAAATGTTGAAGCATTGTTATCATCATTTTACTAAAACCATAATATGTTGATGACGATGATGAATGATTATCAAAATGATCATTAAAATATGTAGATGGAAAAGATTCGTCAATAAACGATGAAAACCTCCAACCATAACTCACACTTAAGAGAAGTAGAAGGCACGTTATTTGAAATAAAGTAGTCATGAATATTCAGTGTATATGGTGCACTTGATATCAATAATGAAAATAGACTTATGTTCGATTGACGAGATACGACAAAGACGAATAAGCAACAAACTTCATATCAATTCATTTGCATCTATATATATATATACAATTCTTCGTTATTTGTTTTTCTTCTCTCGCTTTGTTTATTCATTCTTTTACAGGTACAATTGATAATAAAAACAGATTGATTCATGACTTTATTAGACCACATACTTGTGTAGTCATGAAATATGACTAAGATATTTATTTATTTTATATTAATTAAAATTGAATCATTTATATTTTAAAAAGATAGACATTTCATATGTTTGTGTAATCAGAAAAGTAAAGAATAGTGTGAACATCATTTCCCGAAATAATCAAAATTGATTATGGTTTTTTCTTTCTTTCTTTCTTTCTAATTCAATGTATTGCAAGAACATCCGAGAAGAACATTTGATGCATACTAACATAATTAAATTAATAGAATTAAAAAGGCATGCGATCATTTTTTTTCTTCATTTTTAATAGAAAATATTGATATCCTTGATACTGAACATTTTCAAGGTCTATAGAATATTAATATGAAACGTGTTTCGCCTTACAAGAAAACATTCATGAGAAATATATCATCCAAAAACGAAACCTCAACAATCGATTATTTAATAATTGTGTGTCTAATGTTGTACTTGAGTGATTAATCAATTGTTTTATAACTTTATTACGAAACATTTATTAAGTACTATTGAACGTCTCAATAAGCAAGATATGAACTGAATATGAGAAATCTTACTAGTCGAGTTGTCACTAGAAAAAAAAGAAAAGAAAGAAAGAAAATATCTTTGCTTAGATTATCATCTGATACTTCTATATATAACAGAATAAATACATCGGAAAATTTTTCTCATAAATTTTATAATTACTCAAGTCTTTCTTATACAAGAAATGTTCTTCAAATAAAATTGAAATTTTCTTCGTACATTTTTCATGTCAAAATGAAATAAGCAAACAATAAAAAAAAAAATTATTTTAGGTCAAAGATAAATAAAGTTATAGTTGACTCATACATTACATTTTTTCGAATTCATAAAATGTCCTTGATAGATTACATTATGAATGTCATTTGTAATCGAATACCTTAAAAATTTCTTATTTAACATAAATCACAAAATCACTTCATTTATTTTTGCATGAATAGCATATGAAAAAAAGAAGAAACGACAAGACTGTTCCATACAAAACTCCTCGAAGGACTTTTTAATAAAGAAAGTAACGATATAGAAAGCATACTTCTTAGCAAATCAATCAGACATTGATTGATCTTATATATTATCTACAATTACAAAAAAGAAAAAAAGAAAGGCCTTCATTTTAGGATCAAACGTTTCCGATATTATTCTTTTGCATCATAGATTGACTAAGAAATGAATATATGTAAAACAATACATATATATATATATTTAAATAATTATTTTTTCAATAGACATTCAAAAAACAAAAGGGATAAGGTTTTTACAATACATCGAAAAGAAAAGAGAACAGCAAAATGTTAAGTAATAGTTACAGTTAACATATTTGATGATAATGGTAATGGTAAATTTTTATGAATAGCATTTGAATGATATCGTTTAGTATTAGTTGATTTAGTAAGATTTGTTCTTGATGTTGTTTTTAAACTTTTACGTCTACCAATTGGATGATATTGATCAATAAATCGTACTTTAGTTTGTTTTAATATTTTAATTTTTTCTTGTTGTTCATCATCATCTGTACTTAAAGTAATATTTTGTTTTGATTTTCTTTGACGATATTGTACTAAACGATTTTTATATGCTGTTGATTGTTTTTCAATATCACTTGTTTCATCATCAATATTATCGTATAAATGTTCACTTGATGATGATTTATTAGCTTCATTATGATCTTCATCAATATTAATACCACGTAAACGTAAATGTTGTCGAAATAATTCTTCTTGTAATTTAATTGTATGTTGAAGATTATCATGTGTTGTATACATTGTAGAAGCAGCATTTAAAACACGTTCAAGTGATTCAATTTCATCAGAATATGTACTACTTGGTAAACTTTCAGCTGTATTATATGCACTTGAACTACTTTCATTGTGTTTTGTTGTTGATATTGAACAATGATGATGAGAACAAGATGATCTTGTTGATGATCGATCGGTTGTTGATAGAGCAGGTGATGATAATGACTGATTGAAATTTGCTTGAGGATTTGCAGATATATATTCAATATTTTCTTCTGGTTGTAGTGTATAGTATTTTGGTTGCTACAAACACAAAAACACAATTGAAATGTATGAAGGTTTTTTTCAATTATATTTAATAAAAACCTGTTCTTGAATTTTATTTTGTGAATGTAATTTTAATTGACTAAGAAGTTTAGTAATATTTTCATCCTATTAGAAAAATAATATAAGAACTATTTGTTTTGAAAGAAAGAAAAAACTAAAAAAAAAAACAGATTTATTACATTGCATTGAGATGTATCTAATAATTGATTTGAACAATGTGGACATATTAATGATGAATTATTTTCATCTGTTTGAGTTGAAAAATCTTGTAAGGATTTAGCATCGTCAGTAGTCTATAAAATAAAAAAGGTATATTCAATCTGATTATAAAATCATATGGCGTTTATAAAGAAATGCCTCGAGACACTCTTGTACAGTTTCTCTAGTAATGCTATTCACGTAATCATATTGTAGCACTTCTACTACTTTAATCCATCAAAGAAGCCTAAAGAGAAAATGACGTCGTCTGTCTTTGTTTTAGTTTAGTAGCGATTGTCTGACCGCCTGAAGGTGTCTTTTATATGATCCTTCATCATATATACTAGACAGACATACAAAGAGAATCTAATAAAATAAAATAAAATAAAATAAAAGAAGCAGTGGCTTCTATAATTTTGATATTGTTTTCTTTCCTTTTTTGTTTTCAACAAGCATCTTCTCGAGAAAAACTACGGTCAAGTAGTCGAACTTAAACACTCGTCTAGTCCTATTGAAGGACAATGGTCGATATTGTTCTCACCGTGATAGAAAAGAGATTAATCATTTGATTATATCTATGAAACACTATAGCTCTATAAAATATTATTTCTTTATGTCTATAAATCATTAATGAATACGAGTAAGAGTGAATAAATGTTGATCTGATCCATCCTTCAACATTCACTATTAACACCACCCATTGACAAAAGAAAACAAGCAAACATATAGACACTAGATCTAGCAGACAAGAAAAAGAAAATTATATGTATGGAAAAAAAAAAGATTACAATCGAATCAGGTGTTAAAACCTTTTTTGTTTTTTGTTTATTCCTGTCATTTAATTATCACTTCATTTTTTGATCAAAACCAGCTCTTGTTCTTTCGGAGTTTCTTTTCTTCTTCTTCTTTTGTATGACTGATCAATTTACATAACACTATCATGTTAGAATAAGAACAGAAATGAACGGTTCAATTGTTCATAATTGAGTTATAGACAACATTTTAGATAGGCCATGTGTCTTTTCAGAAGTAAACGGGAAGAAAACGTTGATCTGATTATTATTTCAAAGTGAACAAATACACAAACATGTGGTTTTTATACGATGATTGACGTTCAAATGTCTGTAAAACAGAAGTACTAACTAAGAAAGCTAATTTAAATAAAGACCATGAAAAAGAGATGCAGAAAGAAATGATAGACATTCTTTTTTTTTATCAAATAAAAAAAAATAATCCTGTACATATTTCTTTTTCTAAATCCGACTTATGTTAAATAAACAAAATAGATTAAACTTAAACTACAATTGAATCCCCCCAAGGATATAGTCAATTAATCCTTTTAAAATATCTTGTTTATTTTCATTTCTATTTCTTTATTAAATAAATATGATTTCGAATTAAATAAAAAAAAAAAACAAAAGACTAAATTATTTTTACCTTTTTATGTTGTTGGTGTCTATAAATAAGATGAGCCATTTTCTTTTTATTTTGTTGTAAATCATTATACAATATTCCCATACGTTTAAGTAAGTCACGTTCTTTTCGTTCATGTCGTAATTTTAATTCATCAATAATAATTTGTAATTGTTCAATTGTTTTTGATTTTTCATCAATAATATGTTTCGTAGTCATCATATTAAATGATGATTGTTGTTTATTGTTACGAGATAATATTGGGGAATTGAACATATTGTCTATCTAGAAAACATAGACATTGATCAACATGCATATGCTAAAGGAAATGGTCGACGCCTGTAGTTTATATGTGAATCTATATGTAGAAGAGAAGGACATCCGTCTCGTATCAAAATGGATTTACATATAGGCTTGAGTATCAAGTTATCATAATCATTGAAATAATTTGTCTATGCGAGACATTTTTACCATGAATATGAGAAAAGAATGAAAATAAGCTAAGTTGATCGATCCCATTTACTTACCCATATAGAATCAAGATATGATGTTCATCTTCATTCTTTTCTTTTCTTTTCTTTTCTTCATGTGAAAGAACAATCTTCCTTCTCAATTGTCGAGTTATGGACAAGAAAAAAAAAAAAAAGTATATATGTAAGAAGAGAAAAAAACCAAGGGAAAGAAAGAAGGAACTTCTTTCTCTTTCTAATTATATAACGTTGATCTAACCTGACACACACACCAGCATTTTTCTTTGCACATCATACATTTCCTGCTTTACGTTCATTCGTTCGTCAGGCAGATACAATTCACAAGTCGTGTATTGTTTGTACATCTGCACACATAACCTCCTCCTTTCCTTTGTCTAAATCCATTGCATGTACACACACACACATGCATATATATATACATACATAGCAGGTTCAACAAGATTGATTCTTTCTTTTTCTCTCTTACTCTCCTTTTTTTCTCATTGTACAATCAGAATATTGACTGTATGGATTAGAGACAAGCTCAATATGTTTTAAAGAACAGGGATGATTCTTTGCCACTATACGTGTATATA